CGGTGAATCGACGAACGATGACTATAAGATTGTTTTACCACAGATGCCTACAGGAATTACTAGCGAAACATCGGTGCTTCTGCATTGCGATTTGAAAGGGCGCCCCTACCGTATCCAGGATTTTCGACAAGAGATGGCCAGGTGCGGCGTACTCGGCGACATCGCAGCACTCGGTGCCTACCAAATGAATCATGTTTGGATGGCTACCCTCCGAACGGCAGAAGCAAAGAGACGACTCGTAGACGCCAAAGAACTGCAGGTGAAGGGTCTTCGGTGCCTCGTCGTGGATCCCAGCATCACGGAGTTACGGCTTCGTCTCCACTGGATCCCGTATGATGTGCCGGACGACGTTGTGCGTAAGGAATTGGAGCCGTATGGCAAGGTCCTGGAAGTGAGCCGGGAGAAGTGGAATGTTGAAGGCTTCCAAGGGATCGAATCAACGACCAGGTGTGCGCGGATGACACTGAACGAAGGCGGCACGGCCGATACCATGCCACACCAGCTTCGGATCCAAGGTGGTAACGTACTTGTTGTGATCCCTGGTCGGGCGCCCTTGTGCTTACGCTGTAAGCGCACAGGTCATATTCGACGAGAATGCAGGGCGCCGAAGTGCTCGGAGTGTTTTCGCTTCGGGCATTATGGCACCGAGTGTGTCAGGTCGTACGCCAGGGTGGCCAGCGGGGCCGGGACGGCCGAGACCAATGACCACGCCATGGATGCCGAGGAAGCGGAGCGTACTATCCAGGGCTTGGCGCCAGAAGTTTCAACCCCTGCCAAAGAACGCAAGAGTGAAGGAAACAGCTCCTTGGAGGCAGCCAGAGAGAACGGAGGTCAACCGGAAGGCGCACCTCCCAGCGGTGCCGACGTGAAACCCTCTGATGCCGGAGCAGACAAGGAATCGAACGACGCAAGCACCAACGGACCTTCAGATATGGACGACACTAGCGAGTCAACTAAGCGAGCCTTCGATGACGATACGGCAGCAGGAAACGGAGCGCGCCAACTACACCCCTGGATGGAACGCACGAAGAAGGGGCGTTACCAGCCCGCGCCCAACGATCCTAAAGAGGAACGTCGGCGCAGGGAAAGCAAGTAAGGCGTTCTTTGCCTGGTTCCCTGGTGTTCAAGATTGCTGCATCAAGACAACTTCGACCCTGACTGCTTAGGTTTTTAGTGTCTGCACCGAAGCACAGCGCATGATTTGTGAGTCCCAATCAGCCATTACAGTTGCAACGCTGAATGTTCGTGGTTTATGCACTAGGAAAAAGCAGTACCAAATACAGCGATTATTGTCGAAAGAGCAGCCCGATTTCTTGGCGTTGCAAGAAACTAAATTGGCTGAGGCGGAACAGCTAGAGGAAGCAGTCAGACCTTTCATGCCTAACTACGAAATCTGTGTGACGCATGCAGTTGGTCATTCGGCAGGGTGCTTCCTGCTTCTGAAGAAGTCGGTACCGTTGTCGCAGTTATGCGTTACTACGGACACTGAAGGACGTTTCATTATGTGTGATTTTGTGCTAACGTCAAATCAATTCAGGCTTATTTGCATTTATGCCCCAAATGTGACCACTGACCGCGTTTTATTTTTTTGGCGGTTTACGTCGGTATCTTGATTGCGATAGAGCTCTAGTCCTTGTGGGTGACTTTAATTGTGTTGTACGACAGTTAGATAGATCGCCAATAAGACGGAACGCTGATAAGAGTGAACTACTTTTGGGCGAAATGTTGGAGGATTATGACCTGATTGATGTGGGCACTGTAAAGAACGCGAAGAAGGAAATGCGCTTTACCCATTTTCAAGCGTCGTCCAGTGCGCGTTTGGACAGGGTGTATGTTTCTGCCCCTCTAGCAGAACATTTAGGAAAGTACCGTGTCACTCCAGTCTTTTTCTCAGACCACAGTCTGGTTATCGCGACGATAGGCGACAGAGCACCTGAAAAGAAAAAGTTTAATTGGAACCTATGGAAACTAAACATAAAGCTTCTGAAAGACAACGTCTTTCTAAAAAACGCAGGACAGTTTTTGAAAGATGCTTTTAAAGAGCCGGGAGGGGACATTTTCGAGAAATGGGAACTGGCAAAACAAGAAATTAAGGCAATCGCCATTGAGAGGTCGTCAATTCTTTCGTACAACGCCCGTTGTGTGGAACGCAGTTTAAATAAGGACTTGATAGAGCTATGTAAAGCAGAGTGCGGAAGACCCGGCAATGGGGTAAAAGACGTCGAGTATGTCAGAGAAAAATTAGCTGCACCGCGAGCGCTATCGTGGTGCAGTAGTGCGCGCCCGTGCAGAAAAATACACAATGGACGAGCAGCCCACTAAGCGTGCCTTGGCAGACGAGAAGCGTTACGCACTTCGGAACGACATAACCGAAAGTGAATTCAAGCAAATGATTACTACGGATCCCGAGAAATTAGCACAGGCCTTTCTCGAGCATTACGCACAGCTTTTTGCTAACAAAGCGCAAGGGTGTCATAGGGACATTTATGCCCAGCTTTTAGAAAAACTGCCAAGGCTATCGAATGATGAACGCGAAGAGCTTGAGCAAGAAATTACGATTCAAGAAGTGGAGCGCGCAATCGACGACCTGCCGAACTCTAAGACGCCGGGACCGGATGGATTGGGCGCAGAATTTTACAAGAACTTTAAGAGCCTAATAGCTAGTGTTTTTTTGAACGTCATTCATACTGCCTATGAAAGAGAATGTTTGCCCTTTTCGTTTTCTCGTGCCTACACTGTCCTGATACCGAAATCTGATGACCCCGTGAAACTGCGCAGCGTCACCGGTTATCGCCCAATAACGCTATGCAATACCGATTACAAGATCTTCGCGAAAATTTTGGCCCGTCGCCTTCAAGGTGTCGCATGTGAGATAATAAGCGAGCATCAAACGTGTGGGATACAGGGGAGGACTATCTTGACAAATGTGCATGTGGCTCGTAGCGTCCTGGAGGCCTGCAGTGACAGCACCACGCAGGTTGCAGTGCTACAGATAGATCTAGATAAGGCATTCGACCGTGTTAGCCATGATGTACTCTTTGATGTTTTGAGTCATGTCAATGTTGGTGACGCCATCCTAAAAGGTGTAAAGATGGCCTATAAGGACTGTACAACAAGGCTTATAGTGAACAAAGAGCTCAGTTCTGTTATTAACGTACGAGAGTCGGTACGACAAGGTTGCCCTATGTCTCCCCTTTTGTTTGATTTGTATTTAGAGCTTTTCTGTTTCAGCGTAAAAAATAGTCAACGTGTCCGAGGTTTCCAATTTTATAATGCAGAAGTAAAAATAATGAGTTGCGCCGATGACATTGCTGTTTTTTGGAGGGACAAAGAAAGCGTTACCGAAGTCATAACTTTGGCTAAAAGGTTTTGCCACGCTACTGGTGCTGTTATAAACTGAGAAAAGTGCCGTGGTTTCTGGCATGGTGCTTGGGCCACTACACCCTCAGAATTCGAGGGTGTATGCTGGGACACAGTGCCGTGCAAGTACCTTGGGGTGCCATTGCAAAGTTTCCGGAATAGCCAAACGTACTGGTCGGGTGTCGCTATCGACCTGGACATGCGTGCTTCTCGTTGGAAGCAACGCGAGCTGTCCATTTTTGCCCGAGCGACTGTTTGTAACGTTTTTCTGATTGCGAAGCTCTGGTATGTTCTTCAGGTCATCCATTGTGCGCGAACTAATGTTCAAAAATTTCATCGAATTTTCGCCACGTTTATTTGGAACTCGAAGTATGAGCCGATGAGACGAGACAATCTTTTTCATCGAGTTTGTAACGGTGGCGTGGGGCTTTCCCACCTTTTGTCAAACAGCTTGTGTCACGCTTCTTTTTTTTGAGAGACCAAGAGCACCCGTTCATTCGCACACTGATCCAAACAAAAGTGTCACCACATTTGCCATCTTTTCTTGTTTCTTCTCATGGCGGCGAGCCAACAAGAATCACTGGTTTTTTGAAAGAAGTTGTTGACACGATGGGGTTTCTGATAGCACGTTTTTCTTTGAATTACCTTTGTGATGTCAGTAAAAAAGCGCTCTATCGCGATTTAGTTGTGAGTGTTTTCCCCATGCCCTTGTATCGAGGTGTGTCCCAACATGGCCACGATGTGCTTAGACGTGTAAAAAGGATGTGTGTTCCCGCGGCTGTTAAGACTTTCTTTTATAAATTACACACGAATACCGTGCCAGTTAAGGTTTGGCTTAAAGAAAGAGGGATCTATGTGCCATGGTCGGTAAATTGCCTTCTCTGTAAAAAACCTGAGACTATTGAACATGTGTTTATTTTTTGTTGGGACGCGGTATTTTTCTGGGATGTCCTCCAACGCACTTTAAAGAAAGAATTACCTGTAACCCCAACAGGGATACGTTTCCTTAGTGTGGATAATGATAATGAAGTTCCTTATGACATGATTATGTTGTTAGCTTTGTGCAGCATTTGGAGATTACGTATGGCTGTTCGACATGCTGACCTCGACGCAAAAGAAGTGCGGATATATTTCTTCAACCTTGTAAAACAAGTACAGAGTGTGTATTTGAACTGTGAACCTGAACCGGAGTGGACTAGTATTTTAAAATCACTCCTCGAAATGCGTGATTTTTAATACGCTGTGCAAAAGAGCTGTGCAGTGCTGTTAGAATGACATGAATGTTGCTGTAACTACCATGCAATAAAGAAAAAAAAAAAAGGGTTCGGTGGCCGAGTGGTCTAGCGCACACCAGCTCGGAGCACGTGGAGCGAAAGCTCGCGCTGCAGAACCCAGGGATCCTGGGTTCGAGCCCCACCCCTGCCCGTTTCGATCTGGATGAGCATCGTACCGGCGTGCGGTCGTGTATCACTACTGCGTGATGCACGTTAAAGACCCCAGGCTAGCGGCTGTACCGCACTGGCTAAATTTCTCATCTACAGCTGGGAGACTCGTCGCCCCTGTGAGGCAGACCAAGTTCTAGGCTGTATAAACACACACACAACCCAATTTTTTTTTTATTAAAGCCGACATTTTCGTACCCTACTTTTGCCGCAAAATTCACCAATCAGAACATAGAAGAGTGTCGTGTATGACTTTCAAATGGAAAAAAAGACAGGAAAACTAGAGATTTTTAAGTGTATTTTTCCCGCATGCGCAGACTGTGGTGTCCGTGGTAACCAGAGCGTTGGCGGAGGCCCCATAGCCCAGATCGTGGGAGGAGAGGTTGCGGCACCCCTCGAGTTCCCCTGGCAGATCTCCCTTCGGCTCCTCAACCTGACCGGCGGCTACGAAAGAGGCCACATTTGCGGCGGTTCCATTATTAACGAACAGCACGTGTTGACAGCGGCACACTGCATGGACGTGTGAGTATAGGCCTCGTGCACATCGCGATGCTGCCGTACCCCCTTCGACACTCTAAAAAACGTCCGTGTTTATCCTTTCCCACACAATACTCGAAGAACCAATGACCGTAGCTTACGAAGACAGCACAGCGAATGACGATGTCGAAACATATGTTTAGACCAAAAAACATAGTTGGCGTTGTGACATGAAGCAATGCGAAACGTCACAGTTGCATTGCTTAATGTCACAACGCCAACTATGTTTTTTGGTCTAAACATATGTTTCGGTGTCGTCATTCGCTGAGCTGCCTCCACAAGTTACGGTGATTGGCTTTCCGAGTGTTGTGCGGGAAAATAGACGCACGGGTTTTCTTTCTATATAGTGTAGTTTAGGCGGTGTCCGTTTTGCTACGACGAGATGAGATTTTTCGAGTGCTACCTTTCTGGTATTTTTATACAACGCGCGACGCCTGTGGTTTGAGCTAGGTAGAGCTAGAAAAACACTAGTTACAGATCATGATGTTTAAGCCCTGAGACGGGAAAGGAAACTTGAAGATATATTATAGAAAAAACAAAACAAAACAGGAGAACGTTTCCTTTCCGGTCTTTGTGTTTAAACTTCATGATTAACACGGTCTAGCTCGCTTGCACGTTGACCATTTTTTTTCACTAGATATAGGCTTCCTTTTCCAGTTCTTTTGTGCATAACGAAGCGACGCCAGCAATATATTCCCACGTGGGCCACCTATGTCCGCCTCTATGCCCCGGCGATCCGAAGCGGTAGAAATGCGTAAACACTCTTCCTCTATGCTATACGTGCCTGTGACACTTACGTGATACCCTTACAGCTATGTTCCCTATTCGTATGTACGAAAGCGATTCTTCGCTAGCGTCGTCTTTAATGTTGGTAGAACGCAGAAGCAAGCCGGTGGTCTAGTTGATGACAGAACTCAAGAAGTCCATTTGTGGTCGTGTTAACGCTGGAAAACTAAGTGGCGTAAGGCGACCTTCTCCGACCATTTTTTGTCCTCCGGTGATATCTGTCATTCCTGAAGCGCGAGCGCCACTGAAAACATCTCGCACGACTCACCACCTTTTCGTCATAAGAACACCGAACCATTTCAAAGGTATACTCGATCTGCCAAATGTCACGCAGGATCGATGTTCGCTCTCATTCGGTACGTTTGCAGTTTACGCTGAAATCGCCGTGGTGCTCGTGTACGTGGTCACAAACACTCGTCTAGCGCAGGTCAAAACGTTTGCAGAACAGCTATACCTAAGGCACAACGACACACGAATGTCCCTTCAGTTGCTACGCGTGCGCCACCCTGCTGCCCTCTTTTTTACGCTGCAAAACTACGAGTAGCGCAAGTTCGTTTGCTCCTTCTGCAGGGGTCGGCAGGGGTTGTGATGACATGAGAACGCCGAGCTCTGATTAGCTCTGATTACAGCATGGAGGGTAGACCCTAAGGCAGCTTTTCTTGAGGTATGATCATTATCCTTCAATCAGGGCCAATGAGAGCTTGGCGTTCTGACGTCACCACCACCCTTGTAAAAGAAGCAGATCTACCAGCGCTTTGTAGAGTCGTCGAAATTTTTCATCCCACCTCCATGGGTATTGTTGCAAACGTTCTTTCAAATTGATTTGAAGTGCCTGCAATTGTAGCGACTCTACGGGTGTCCGCGAATGTGCATCACGGATCGCTCGGTCACCGCCCAAGTGTAGCGCTATAGCAGCCCAGGCAAGAGATGCAATTTGTTTGAAAGTTATAAGCGACTTTCGTGAAGTTCCAATTGGAAAATGGCGGCCTTCGTGGCCCACGATTACATGCGGCTGAAAGGCGCAAGCTGCCGAGAAGGTGTCCCATTTCCTATTGCAAGCTTCATAAAACAATTTATACCTTTTGAGTAACAGTTGCGGGCAACTTGGGGATCGAAAGCGTTGACCCAGGTTTCCCGCCTGCCAAATCGTTAGCGGTCGTTTCCACCGCGATGGGGCCAAGGGCAATTGGCCACGCGAGCGGCGCTCCGACCGCCGATGATGAAAGGCCGTCGCAGCGAACGCACGACACAGCTGTGAAACTTTGACATCTGGTCTGCGTTCTGCGTTCGGCGATGCTGAGTTTAGTTTTGCGGTGAAAAACAAGAACGCATACACAAACTAACTTTTTTTTCTCTTTTCTTAGAGGGGGTTAGTTGTAGGGGGTGCGTTGTATATTTGAATCAGGCTCATTCCACTCCTTGCATAATAAATGTCTGAGAAGCAAAAGTCGAAGAAATAACATACATTGCAACAAAGCAGTAAACTTGCCTTAGAAGTAGTTAATGATTACAAGTATCTGGGTGTTACTCTCACGTCCAACTTAAGCTGGGCTATTTCATATAGAGCAGATTAGGACAAAAACGTCCAGTAAATTGTGGTCGCTACGTAGGAAAATGTGTCACTGTACTCCTGCGACAAAGCTGACGGCCTATAAATCGCTGCTTCGTCCTTTGCTAGAATATGCTGACGTTATATGTGACCCAGACTCGCAATCGCTCATTGACCAACTGGAAGGCCTTAGAAAACTCGCTTAGGTTTATTTACACCTCATACGGCAAAGATTCACACGTTTCACCTTTGTACACCGCCTCCGGGGTGTCCATATTATCATGTCGAAGGTATGTAAAGCGTTTGAAATTTTTGCATAATATAACTTATAATAAAGCTGGTTTAAATTTTGATGATTATTTGCACTATAACGCGAGTCGTGATATAACACTCTAATAAATGCATGTGCCTCTACTTACTAAAGCCAATCTCTGCGGTCTAGGAAATCAATTGAGCGAATGATGAGGCGGAACATCCGTTTAGACCCAAAAATGAAGTCTGCGCTGTGGCGTTACGCAAGGCAAAGCGTCATGGTTCATTTTGAGGTCCAAACAGATGTTTCGCCTCATCATTCCTGAGCTGATTTCCTAGATCGCACAGATTGGCTCTTCGAGTGTTTTCCAAGTAAGTAGAGGCACATGTGCTTCGTACTGCTCATGCACACTGGAAGCGGATCCGCGTTCACAAAGCGGTTGCGAACGCGGTTGTATAAAGATCAGTACAATTGCACGCGCACGATCCGCTTCCAGCGTGAAGGAGCGGTTAGAGTGAGAGCAGAAGCACGAGAACTTGCTCCTTGAGTGCCGCTGTTGACAAGATGTTTTTAAATACTCCTATTTTCCTCGTTCTGTTTGTGAGGGGAATGAGTTGCCACCAAGTGTGACGGCGATCGCTCCTACCGCTTTATTTGCGTGCCCAGTTGATGCATTTTTTTCTGTCAATAATGACCAAGCTACTTGTTACTTGTTGTTGTGTTCATTCGACTCATCGATGGTTTTTAATGTTGTCTTATCATGCCTTGGCCCTCCAAAGTTGGCCGGCAGTATTCTCAAAAAAATATTATGGGCCAGTCGGTAATAATTAAACATGGTTGATGAAAATCAGTCAATTCTCGCGTTTGTTCCTTACTTCGTCCCCGTTTCTGAAGCTAGTTTTCATCAACCATATTTAACTTCCCTACTGCAGGCGCAGTCGAAGTTACTAGCTGATGGAACCAATCAAATAGCTCCAAAAGCGTATCATCATGTTGTTCGCGGTGCCTCTGTACGTGTTTCGTGATCGTTAAAACCGTCATAAAAAAAAAGAAAAAAAAAGGTTTGCTGACTCCCGCATTTGGCGCTGGTTGATCGGTCCGGTTATCTCGTAGCGTCGAATGCATGCGGACTTAAGCTGAAACGGTGTATAGTTGGATCATTTAAGCACATGCTATCCCCCCCCCCCCCCCCCCCTTGCAGGCGACAGACAACGGTGGAGAACTTTATCGTTGTGATTGGGGACCAAAATATCCGAGTCGTAGATCCCACAGAAGAGAGGATCGGCATTCAGGAGGTGAGTAGAGTCATCTCCTAAAACAGCAAATACAAATGGTCTCCGCGTTATTGTCCGAGTCAAACGCTTTCATTGATTTAAAGCACCATGAATTGTATAGGAGAGAAATCGGCAGAAGTAAATTACATGAGTCGAATCACTACTACTTGGTAACATTTAATTAAAAATGTAAATCATTTTCGATATTCGTACAGCAACCATTTCAGGCAACTTTCACTTTTTGGAGCACTAGACATCTGCGCAGAATAGGTCCAGTTTGTGTTCAGGACACATTTATTGCGACATTTGTATTTTATCCAAAATATTACCATCTAATCAAAAGCTGGCGCTCGTAAAATGTGCGAGGAAATGCCTACTAGAAATAGCGCGAAGTTTAAAAAGTCTAGTATTGTAACGAGCACTAGTTTCGAAAGTGAAAGTACCTTACTGAGTATGAAGCGCAAATACGGCTGTGTAAAACGCTCATTTTCACTCTATAAGGTTTCCCAAGTAACCAGGCTTTACGTCGCAATATAAGAGGTCGTCCTAGGCGGCGTCCTTGAGGTGGTTCTAGAGGTCGTCCTTGAGGTCTTCTCTTACGCCGTCCTATAGATCGTCCTCAGGATTGCCCTAGAGGTCGTTCTAGACGTCATCCTAGAGTTTGTACTTGAGATCGCCCTAGAGGTCGTCCTATAGACGCCGTTCTTGGTGCCGTCCTCTAGGACGTCGTCTTCGACGTCCTCTTAGACGTTGTTCTTGAGGTTGTCCTAGGTGAATACTATCGCAATTCATGAACAACCATCAATAGTGGTTTCTGCAGCAATGTCTTCATCTGCTGGGTGGTCAACGCGACGCGCCAAGCGGCCGGGCTCGCGTCTCCTCTGCGGCACGGGCACTTCACGCGGCTCTCAAGCACGACTCAGCGAAGAATCCCCCCTCCCCCTCTTTCATTTCTTGTGCCACCCACACTTAGTTGTACGGAGATTAATGCAGTATAGTGCACCTATGCCCCGACCAATTTTAGCCAATATGATTGTAGCGTATTGTAATTTTATAGGCGGTTTGCCGAATGTCGGAGTGCGCTTTGACATACAGTGTAATTGCTTTGTTTTCTCTCCACAAACTCAGATAATAATTCACCCCCAATACAATAAGTCCCTGATTCGATTCGACTACGCGATACTGAGACTGAACAAGACCCTGAACTTCACTGGTCAGGAGAAGCGACTGATGCCCATCTGCCTTCCCACCCCGGACGAAGAGTTTGATGGGCAGAACTGCACTGCCACCGGATGGGGACTTACCAAAGACAGTAAGTAAACATCAGTTGAAAAACTTCTTTTTTTTTTTTTGGAATTACACGCAATTACGCTTTATTTCACGTACCGTACTTCGCCTCACACTTATGGGTCAGAGCGCATTCGACAATACGGTTCAAATAACCCAATCAATGCAGGCCAAAAAAGGGCATCGTCTCGGCGCCCCTCATCTTTTGAGCGTTGATTCAGCTTCTTTGTCTATACATAAAACACGTGAAATAGATCATGAAAAGCCAAGGAGTCGCATTTTGTAATGTTTACCACAACCAAGCGAACGTTATGTGCGGCCTTAGCGCTGACCAGATGTACTTTAAGAATTTTGTTTTTTTCATTTTTTATTATTTAGAAGGTTATAAAAACTGCGGTCTGAGTGCACATTTGTTTTCGGAAGATGCGTGTTAAACAGCGTCGCCTACTGAGAACAAGATTATCTTTTTTTGACCGGAACTTTCGATTACGTTCAAGTCCGGACTCCGAAGCCCCAAAAGTCTAAAGTTTGAGACGTCAAAATAATGAAGATGTTTTTACGGGGGGCGTGAAAATGATTTTTTAAATATTCTTACTTCTTTAGGAAGCAGCGTCACGGACGCCGAAATGACACCTAGAATTATTTTAAAAGTGGACGTCGAAATACTCACGGCCTGTCCAATACATACTCGGAGTACGTGATCGGAACACGTGGAGCGAAAGCTCGCGCTGCAGAACCCAGGGATACTCGGTCCAATGTCCAGCCCTGCACGTTTCGATCTGGATCAGTATCGTACCGGCGTGCGGTCGTGTATCACTACTGCGTGGTGCACGTTAAAGACCGCAGGTTAGCGGCTTTGCCGCACTGGTTAAATTGTTCCTGTACAGCTGAGCATCAAGTCGCCCGTTGAGGCAGACTGACTTCAGGTGTATAAACATACGCACAACACAATTTATAATTGGCGGACAGGCGATGGCACAGATTTTTGAGAACGTTCTATAGGGCACACGCATATGCATCTTAGTGAAACCACGAAAACACAAAGAGAACATTTACGAATAATAGGGAGACAGTTCTCACGAGAAAGGGGCGTAGTCAGGTTTTGTGTAAATACGTTACTTGGCAGAGAATTCCAATCGTGTATCGTCCTCGGGAAAGGAAAATTTAAACGGGCGAATCTCGCAGGAGTACTCAGACAAGGCATTAGCGTACTGTGCATGTCCTATAGAGGCTTAACTCGGAGGAATAACCCGAATCGGAGCTCTACTTAAATAAGCTAAATCGAAGCATCACGGGAAGAAACCTTACGTATGCGGTGCACCTTAGCGCACGGAGTAGTTCCTCAAATAAACGATGTTTTATGCTTTAGGTCTAAATTGATGTCTGAGAAAGGGACTTGTTTCTAATGCTCAGGTATTTAAAACCAGAGCTTTCGTGATGAATCTGGAGGTTGTGTGCAGTTCGAACTTTACTGAGAGAAAAGCTGTAGTACACGGTACCCGGAACGCGTCTCCGACGGCTATATTTAGCGTATTATTCCACCCGTGCCATCGAAAATGTTCCCAAGGGGGCAACAAAGGACGTGTCAAAAGCCGGAGTGACGGATGTCGCGATCCCGCTGGTTGGGCCTAGATGTAAAGGGAAACATATCATGACCCATTCCACTCTGTGATGGTGGATGACCAGCAAAGCTATTCACCACATGGCACAGACGTGCCAAAGAATTCTGAACAAAGGTATACGAACTCATTTATTGCCTTCATCGGTGGTCATCGTGACGAAAGTTACGCGCACACATTCCTTGTTGTCTTGATCGGCGGTAATTATTTGGCGTGGACGACTATCGCCGCCCTGAGGAGCCGGAGGAAACTGGACACGCGCGACGGGACTGCCACCCCGGGAGAGCGGAAGGAGGAACTAGGCACGCAAGGGGCTGGAACGACGACAAAAAGAGGAAGGTGCGATCGTAGACAAGGCCGACGCGGGTCGGAGAGCGGCAACTCTCTGAGATATCTTTATTATAAACATGAGAGGTGTGATCTTGAACATGGTGCCTATTGATAACTAATCTACTGAATAGACCTATTGCTAAATTACCCAAGCATGAGGAGGAATGCAGGGAATGGTGTTCCATACGCCGCACGTGCAAGAGTCTGCAGCAGCATAGCCTCCTACATATTGACAAAGCCTGGCAGATCGCCACGAGAAGCGGCCACCGAAATGGAAGAAGGTGGAGACGCAGACAACGAATGAGAGGTGACCACGTGGCTGGTGCCCCGCTGCGGCGAGACGCCAAAACACACCTCTTTCGAGTGAACAAGTGTGTTTTGGGTCCTCGCCGCTTCAAAAGCTGTGCGCTGACGTCCAGGTTCCCCGAGAAATCGCCCTTTGATCCTCTGTGCTACCAGATTCTCGCGCTCCAAGTTTGCGACCGAGCACTCTATGGCTCCGTCGTCGAACTGCCAGGCTTGGTGAGTATATAGAGAGCAAGTATAGAGGAGGGTATGGCAGCAATAGCTGTTCTAAAACAAAAGCCTAAAACAAATGGCATCTTGAAAGCGCGTTCGTCCACGCTTTATTTTGGTTATTTGCTTCAAATATGTTTTACGAAGAAGGCGTGCGCGTGCAGCGTTGCGAGCGTAGATTTTTTGTTGATGCACATAAAAAATCCACAGAACCCTAGCCATAAAGAGCTTCGGTGTAAAAGCAGGAAAGAACGCAGATGCCCCTTCCGTCTGCGTCCCAACTCCATGTTGTCGAAGCTTCCGGGTGGACTGTCAAACTGGAGAACGACCTGCGGCAACACGAGCGTCTGCATGTACTATTTGGGAAAAAGGAAATACAAACAGAGGAGCCCGTGGTTAGCAGTACTGGCTGCGAGGCTGTGTGGTCAACTCCCATGTGTCAACGCCTCTTGCTCGGCGCTTCCCAAGCTTTGGCATTGCGGCTCTTGGTGCGCTGAAAGCTATTGCCGCTTAAAGCCCCTTGATTTTTCAAAAGTAGCGCAAAGTTTGTCGATGCACGAGGCGCGTGCAACGTGCAGCCCTTGGGAAGATCATGGCGGCACAGCGCAGCACTGAGCTAGATACCATGAATTCCTCAGAAGTGGCGCGCGGCAGGTGCATCGAGCATTTCTACAGCAATGAATGGAGCCACTTTTCCCAGGACAGAGCCGTATATGTAGAGCCTTCGGTCAATGGGAGGCGCGGGCAGAGCTAGGGCGTGCGGCAGACTCGGAAAGAGGGCTTGGCATGCTCTTTTGAGTCTTGACTAACCAGAAGCCGAAAAGAATCCCCTAACGGTGGTAGCCAGAAACAGTTCTGATCAAAGGTCTATGTTCGTATATGGTTTTAATAAGCGCGTAAGAGTGAAATGGAGTAACTCGTTGTGGTTTAAAATAGGGTACACGTGTTGTTTTGATTATGATCATGCAGAAAAATGTAAGAAACGAATGCGCCGCTGAACTCTGTTTTGTGCGGACAGAGTGTGACCGCTCGGACGGTAGATTCCCGGCCCTCGGCGCTTGGCGTACGGATTATGTCGATCGTTCCGCTAGTCGCACTCTTCCACCATCATTCCGGATGAGCGTGATTGAAACATCACGTGTACCATATTTTCAGCCATCAAGAGTTACTCCAATGCACTTATCAGGTTTAAGAGCGCAGCTCTTAGGGGCCCGTTTCCGGCTTGAGCGGCGTCGGCGTCGCCGTCGGCGTAACCGCGCGGTGCATCATGGGAAATGTCCCATAATGCACCGCGCGAGCCCCCCACCGGGGTCACGTGACTTCGTGGGGGGGCACGTGACCCCCCCGAGGTCACGTGACTCCCCTGAGGTCACGTGACCCCCCGAGGTCACGTGACCCCCGCCGATGTCGCGTGACCCCCCGATGACGTCATCGACACTGATGACGTCACCGGCATCCACATCGTCATCGTCATCATCAGTGATGATGACGATGACGATGCGGATGCCGGTGACGTCATCAGTGATGATGACGATGACGATGTGGATGCCGGTGACGTCATCAGTGATGATGACAATGACGATGTGGATGCCGGTGACGTCATCAGTGATGATGACGTCATCAATGATGATGACGTCATCAGTGACGATGACGATGTGGATGCCGCTGACGTCATCAGTGATGATGACGATGACGATGTGGATGCCGGTGACGTCATCAGTGATGATGACGATGACGATGCGAATGCCGGTGACATCATCAGTGATGATGACGATGACGATGTGGATGCCCGTGACGTCATCAGTGATGATGACGATGACGATGTGGATGCCGGTGACGTCATCAGTGATGATGACGATGACGATGTGGATGCCGGTGACGTTACCGACATCCGCATCGTCATCGTCATCATCACTGATGACGTCATGTGACGTCACTGATGTCACCGGCATCCGCATCGTCATCGTCATCATCACTGATGACGTCGTCAGCGACGTCACTGATGACGTCACCGACATTCGCATCGTCATCGTCATCATCACTGGTGAAGTCATCAGTGACGTCAGTAATGACGTCATCGGTACCCGCATCGTCATCGTCACTGATGACATCATCAGTGACGTCAGTGATGGCATCATCGGCATTGGGGGTCACGTGACCCCCAAGGTCACGTGACCCCCCAAGGTCACGTGACCCCCCCTGATTAGTCTAACCCCCCCCCCCAGCGCCCTTCCCTCCTCCTCCTCAAGAGCTGCGCTCTAATTCGGCGTTACAGGGAGTTGTAAGCGGCTTTCACTTTTTTGTCTCGCGACCACCGCCAGGGTATTATTTCCGGCTTCTGGTTGGTCACATTCGAATTTCTGAAGACGCCCTGGAACACGCCCAGCCCGCTTTCGGCCAATGGCGCCTCCGCATTTGTCTCCTATACTTCCCAACGAGTGGCCAAACTCTCTACATATACGGCTCTGTCCCAGGATAGAGGGGATTTATCACCGCTATCGTTGCTCGCTCGACGCGTGCGGCGCGAGGAAGCTCGCTCTAGTAGCAGCTAGAGCGCGCGCTGGCCGAGCGCGTGGACAATCTGCTATTAGCGGCGAGGTTCGTATGATCACTTCAGCAGACGGGATGTACGCACCAGTCGGAGACGGCTCCCGGCCACTCTAGCTGTGGATATGGTGGCTTAATAAATGTGTAATAAACTTTCTAATTTTTTTTCCAATTATTCTTTTTGATAAGGGATTTTATGTTTTTACCCCATTGCAAAACCTTGCAGGGTCCGAAGGGGGAAACGCAGCCAACCCTGACCTGTTGAAAGTGGACATGCCCATCGTGCCATTCAATGTGTGCAGTGCGATTTACCGGAAAAGACTGCCTCAAATCCCAGTCGTCAGAAGCGCAATGATTTGCGCGGGATACGCACGAGGCGGAAAAGCGACCTGCACGGTGAGCGATGGAATATGTCCGAAAGAAAGGTATGCTGCTTGCACACTGCGCGACACTCTCAGCGGGAACGAGTGATAGCCAGACTTCAGCAGTATTTTTTTTAGAGAATTATAGGGTTTTAAATAAATCGTTTATGATAAAAACAAACAAACAAACGAACTACAGGTGTTAGTTCGGGTCATTTAGCTAAAACGTGAGATTTAATGCCCGCCAATTTTCTTCTTAAATAAAATGCAAAAAAAAAGAAAAAAAGAAAAAGGAAACGTGCTCGCGCTCACAGTGTCGCCCAGTGCACACATCTTGTTGTAGTCCCTGAGAGTAAAGCAGGGCGTGGCGAGTCCCAAGCCTCTCATTATTTCTCCTCAGTCAATCATATTGCAGTATTAGTCATTAGGGAAGCCGTAAAACCAATCACGAAACAGGAAGCGTGAACAAATTTTCGGCCGTGCCCTATGTTTCTGGGAGCTCGGGCGGTTTCTTAAAGGGATACGGAATCGAAACTTGAAATATAGAGAAAACATCAAGAAATGAGTTCAATATGATCAGCTAAGCCTGTAATGTATAATCGCACGGTCGTATTTTGAGCAGATGGCTATATTTTATGCTCTAAATGCCGCGATTTTGGCGAGCGCTTCAAAATCAGCCATGGAGGAGCGCAATGCATCTCGGGAGATCCGGCAGACGTCTTGACGTCATCATGCCTCGGACGACCAAGCGTACCGTAGTGACGAGTTTTGCCACTTGGAGGCGTCAACGCGTTACAATACCGCTTTGTCGAAATACCCAAGGGCTGTAGATATCGCGGGGCCAGCACGCGCACCAAACCTGAGAACAACCGAAGCACGCGTTTGCACGTCGCGCGAGAGCTGAAACGAAGGTGGCTCACTTCGTTTTGGCTCTTTCCACCAAGACGCCTCGGTATTGCGTTCAGGCCTAGGCAATCTATACCAGTGAGCGGACATACCGCTGCGGCGCTGCTTTCAGAGGCATGTTGTCGTCACGACATTCCATTGAAGCTTCATAACCAACTACCAGGTGGTTTTTGATTATCGTTTAATTCACTTTAAAATATGTTTTCTTGCGTTTTCTAGCGCAATATTTATGTTTCTGTGGTTGTGCTGCTACCTGCGTGGAGCTGATTTCTTTGTTGAAGCAAAGAAATGAGCTCCAGAATTTGGTTTCCGTACCCCTTTAAGATACCCAGACTATACTTCGTCTCAACCTAGCATGGACTAACCGCGAAGGCTGTGCTAGCGCGAGCGCCAGCCTTGACTGCCTTGACTTGAGCACTTGCTGCACGAGCGCTCGTGCAACCGCCGCGGTTTCATTCAAAGCGACTAGCTCGCGCTTTTAGCACGCTCGGCTAACAATAGTCCATACTAAGGTGAGACGAAGTATATACGAATTTTCCGAATACCGCAGGCTTCACTCTTCCAGGCACGCTATTTATTATCCGGAAATTCGAAATAACTATTGAAAAACGACGAATGAATGTTACACCAAAACCAGCGTTATATTTTCCCCCCATGCTCTCCAATGGGATGACGGCACGTGCTGGAGAACTTGCAAGTCGACCAAGAAGGCTAATATACACACACACACACACATATATATATATATATATATATATATATATATATATATATATATATATATATATATATATATATATACAACACGGGCACTTCACGTCATCGTACGTGGTCTCCGAGGGGGATATAAACGAATATGTGCAGATGAATGAACCGTACTTAATCCAATGAATTAAAGAATCCAAGTTTTCAGGAACCCGCCGAAAGCCAAAAATTGGCGGAGCCAGGATTTGAACTCTGGGCCTCCCAATGTCCGGTCGGGTGTGCTAACCACTACAACACTCCACCTTAGCTTTCTGGCGTTTCCTACCTGTCTTATTAATGCACAAGAAACGAAATGTGTCCAATCGGAGGTGTTCTGGAAACACACGCCGCCGCGTGGAACGCGGTACGACGCTTAGTGTCACGTGGTACGTGCTCGTTTGTGCTCCAGAAATCCTCCCACTGTTTGTCTCGCCCCGTGTACATGTAGTATTCTTTGTTTATGAGCTTTTTTAGAGACACGGTATCATCATCATCTGCGAGAATCAAGAGCCACGTTATTGAATATACAACACGGGCACTTCACGTCATCGTACGTGGTCTCCGAGGGGGATATAAACGAATATGTGCAGATGAATGAACCGTACTTAATCCAATGAATTAAAGAATCCAAGTTTTCAGGAACCCGCCGAAAGCCAAAAATTGGCGGAGCCAGGATTTGAACTCTGGGCCTCCCAATGTCCGGTCGGGTGTGCTAACCACTACACCACTCCACCTTAGCTTTCTGGCGTTTCCTACCTGTCTTATTAATGCACAAGAAACGAAATGTGTCCAATCGGAGGTGTTCTGGAAACACACGCCGCCGCGTGGAACGCGGTACGACGCTTAGTGTCACGTGGTACGTGCTCGTTTGTGCTCCAGAAATCCTCCCACTGTTTGTCTCGCCCCGTGTACATGTAGTATTCTTTGTTTATGAGCTTTTTTAGAGACACGGTATCATCATCATCTGCGAGAATCAAGAGCCACGTTATTGAATATACAACACGGGCACTTCACGTCATCGTACGTGGTCTCCGAGGGGGATATAAACGAATATGTGCAGATGAATGAACCGTACTTAATCCAATGAATTAAAGAATCCAAGTTTTCAGGAACCCGCCGAAAGCCAAAAATTGGCGGAGCCAGGATTTGAACTCTGGGCCTCCCAATGTCCGGTCGGGTGTGCTAACCACTACACCACTCCACCTTAGCTTTCTGGCGTTTCCTACCTGTCTTATTAATGCACAAGAAACGAAATGTGTCCAATCGGAGGTGTTCTGGAAACACACGCCGCCGCGTGGAACGCGGTACGACGCTTAGTGTCACGTGGTACGTGCTCGTTTGTGCTCCAGAAATCCTCCCACTGTTTGTCTCGCCCCGTGTACATGTAGTATTCTTTGTTTATGAGCTTTTTTAGAGACACGGTATCATCATCATCTGCGAGAATCAAGAGCCACGTTATTGAATATACAACACGGGCACTTCACGTCATCGTACGTGGTCTCCGAGGGGGATATAAACGAATATGTGCAGATGAATGAACCGTACTTAATCCAATGAATTAAAGAATCCAAGTTTTCAGGAACCCGCCGAAAGCCAAAAATTGGCGGAGCCAGGATTTGAACTCTGGGCCTCCCAATGTCCGGTCGGGTGTGCTAACCACTACACCACTCCACCTTAGCTTTCTGGCGTTTCCTACCTGTCTTATTAATGCACAAGAAACGAAATGTGTCCAATCGGAGGTGTTCTGGAAACACACGCCGCCGCGTGGAACGCGGTACGACGCTTAGTGTCACGTGGTACGTGCTCGTTTGTGCTCCAGAAATCCTCCCACTGTTTGTCTCGCCCCGTGTACATGTAGTATTCTTTGTTTATGAGCTTTTTTAGAGACACGGTATCATCATCATCTGCGAGAATCAAGAGCCACGTTATTGAATATACAACACGGGCACTTCACGTCATCGTACGTGGTCTCCGAGGGGGATATAAACGAATATGTGCAGATGAATGAACCGTACTTAATCCAATGAATTAAAGAATCCAAGTTTTCAGGAACCCGCCGAAAGCCAAAAATTGGCGGAGCCAGGATTTGAACTCTGGGCCTCCCAATGTCCGGTCGGGTGTGCTAACCACTACACCACTCCACCTTAGCTTTCTGGCGTTTCCTACCTGTCTTATTAATGCACAAGAAACGAAATGTGTCCAATCGGAGGTGTTCTGGAAACACACGCCGCCGCGTGGAACGCGGTACGACGCTTAGTGTCACGTGGTACGTGCTCGTTTGTGCTCCAGAAATCCTCCCACTGTTTGTCTCGCCCCGTGTACATGTAGTATTCTTTGTTTATGAGCTTTTTTAGAGACACGGTATCATCATCATCTGCGAGAATCAAGAGCCACGTTATTGAATATACAACACGGGCACTTCACGTCATCGTACGTGGTCTCCGAGGGGGATATAAACGAATATGTGCAGATGAATGAACCGTACTTAATCCAATGAATTAAAGAATCCAAGTTTTCAGGAACCCGCCGAAAGCCAAAAATTGGCGGAGCCAGGATTTGAACTCTGGGCCTCCCAATGTCCGGTCGGGTGTGCTAACCACTACACCACTCCACCTTAGCTTTCTGGCGTTTCCTACCTGTCTTATTAATGCACAAGAAACGAAATGTGTCCAATCGGAGGTGTTCTGGAAACACACGCCGCCGCGTGGAACGCGGTACGACGCTTAGTGTCACGTGGTACGTGCTCGTTTGTGCTCCAGAAATCCTCCCACTGTTTGTCTCGCCCCGTGTACATGTAGTATTCTTTGTTTATGAGCTTTTTTAGAGACACGGTATCATCATCATCTGCGAGAATCAAGAGCCACGTTATTGAATATACAACACGGGCACTTCACGTCATCGTACGTGGTCTCCGAGGGGGATATAAACGAATATGTGCAGATGAATGAACCGTACTTAATCCAATGAATTAAAGAATCCAAGTTTTCAGGAACCCGCCGAAAGCCAAAAATTGGCGGAGCCAGGATTTGAACTCTGGGCCTCCCAATGTCCGGTCGGGTGTGCTAACCACTACACCACTCCACCTTAGCTTTCTGGCGTTTCCTACCTGTCTTATTAATGCACAAGAAACGAAATGTGTCCAATCGGAGGTGTTCTGGAAACACACGCCGCCGCGTGGAACGCGGTACGACGCTTAGTGTCACGTGGTACGTGCTCGTTTGTGCTCCAGAAATCCTCCCACTGTTTGTCTCGCCCCGTGTACATGTAGTATTCTTTGTTTATGAGCTTTTTTAGAGACACGGTATCATCATCATCTGCGAGAATCAAGAGCCACGTTATTGAATATACAACACGGGCACTTCACGTCATCGTACGTGGTCTCCG